CACCACGTAACTGCCCCTATGAAGCTTTTCTTGATCCCTTCCACTGCATCCTCTTTAATTCCTCTGTTACAATGTAAGTTCCTTGCAAGGAGGGGTTATTTCTTTTATTGTATTTGTATCCGCAGTGCCTAGCAATAGTACCTGGCACAAGTAGGCACATATTAAGTAAATACAATAGCCAGCATTTATATAGCGTTTTGAGGTTTGCAAAGCCCTTTACACATGTTATATGTAAAGGTTGGTGCTGCTATTATTCTCATTTTACAGCTGAGGTAACTGAGGCTGAGTGAGGCTAAGTTACTTTACCAGGATAACACAGAACAGTAAATATCTGAGGCCAGATTTTAACTGTTTCTTTTTTGACTCCAAATCCACTGATCTTACCCATTTTGCCATTTGGTTGTGTCAAATAAATAATGTGTCATATATGATGTTTAATTATGATAGTAAATATATGTTCATTGATTCTTAGTTGTGTAACCATGAACAAGTCACTTCACCTCTCTCAGCCTCAATTTCCTCACCTGTAAAATGGGATAATACTTATACTTTTCTAACAAGATTGTTGTGAGGATCAAATGAGAGAAAATATGTAAATCATTTTGTAAACCTTAAACCATTTTTTAAAATAATTTTTAATAGTAACAGCAGTAGCAACAACTAGACTTTCTCTGAACTAAGAGTAAGTTCTGGTCCTGTTGGAAATCTTTTCAGAAAGAGGTTAGTAAATATGAGTTTTAGTAACATGTAAACTCTTGTCATGTTTTTTGCTGGCCACAGCATTGGAAGCCATAATTGACGTATGAAGATTTACTTGCCTATCTTAAACTACCCTAATTTCTTAAGAATATAGGGTTTAGAACTATGTGCTACTTTATCAGTCATCTAGTAAAGCTCTCCACATTTCATAATGAGGAAGCTGGGCCCCAGTGTCTTGCCTAAGCACCAATAGTGAGTGGCCAAGCTAAGTTTTAAACAGGCCTTTTATTCCAAAATCAGTGGTCTGAAAATACTCCATACTTTCCTTTGGTAAACTATTAGATGCCTTCTTCTGTACATTACATATCACTTAAGTATCCAAATTCTAGAGGGGTGTGTGTGTGTGTGTGTGTGTGTGTGTATATTAAACTAGTAAGAGGAATACTGGATTTGAAACCAGAAAATTTAGGTTTAAATTTTTGCTTCTGATATTTCTTACCTGAACAATCTTAGATAAGTAATTTCATCTCTTGAGGCCACTGTTTTTCATCTGTATAATTTGAATGTTGATCTAGATATCAAAACTCATGGAAGATCCACAAAACTCAAGTGAAGTCTGAACCAGATTAAATATAATTGGGAAGATTTTAATAAATAAAAACAATAAAACATAACTAATATGAATTTGTAGTTTTCTAAGTCAATGTGAGGTATAGGGATCTGTTTCTATTTGAGTTGGACACCATTGATCTAGACCAGAGTCTCCAAACTTTTTTGATCATGTAGTCCTGTGACAAAAAAACACACAAACAAACCGCCTTTGAGCATGCACCTTCAGTATGTGTATAATTCCTTATATTTATGTACTAAGATACAATTGTGTACATAATAAAACATATAAGAAAAAATAGAAATCAAAACAAGATGAGATAAAGATGAAATAATATTTTATCTAGAATCAATAGAGGGTCAATGGAGAAATGACACAGTTCTACCTTTCCTTTAGGAAAGTATCTTTGGAGTCCAGAGGAATAATAGATTAGAATGTGAAGAGATTTGAGGCAAGGAAACTCCATTAGGAGGCTGTTGCAGTACTCCAAGACAGGGGTGTTAAGGACCTGAACTAGAACGGTAGCTCTGAATGGAGAGAAGGGCATTTATACAAGAGGTGCTGTGAAGTAAGAACAACAAAATTTGACAGTTGTTTGAATTGGTGAGGTGTGGTGAGAAGTCCAGGATACTGCCAAGGTTGTAGACACAGCACTGGAAGGATGATGGTACTGTCAAGGGAAATGAGTTCAGAAGAGGGTTGGGTTTTGAGGGAAATCTGATGTAAGCTCAATGTTGTGTGTATCCTGTGCTACACAGTTTTTTCTGCTGAAAAAAATTTCATTGTTGAAGGATACTAACTCACAGGCCACTGCTTTGAAGTGAAGAGCCAGAGTGAAGCTTCTTCAATAGATGAAAGATGCCTGGTGTCAACCATAAGGTTTTTGGCTGATGGGGGCAAGATATTTGAGAGGGGAGAGGTACAGAAAGTGTTGTCAGTAGCAGCTGCAGTAGGTCTCTGGGTAGGGATAGGTTATAAAAGTTTGAGGGGCCATACTCTTCAGAATCCTTTAATAGGGAGCAGAGTGGAATGGGGCAGTATTTCAGGGTGTCATGTAGCCATGTTGGAGACAAGCTTACGACTTACTTTAGAGGTGTGGAAGAAGAATGGTGGGATGCCGCTAATTGCTACCCACCACTTTGTGGGATCTTTCCACGTACTTCTCCACTTTGGACAACAAAGGCCTCTTATTAAATTTAAACCTAATCTAATGTTCCAAATCTATGGTCCTGAGCTAGAATGGTGGTGGTGACTATACACAACTTTAGGTGTATAGGTAAACCTGTGTCCTAGTAGAATTTGAAAAGATAGAATCATTGAAAATGAAGCATTGGCATACTTAAAAAAAAAAAAAAGATAAGGAACAGGAGTTATGAAAAGCAGCATGTTCAATGTATAGTAAAAGATCTCTTTTCTTGAAAGTAATACTACAGTGAAATTCCATAAAATAGTTTCTTGAAAGGTGATCTTAATAAGTTTTTTAGGTCTTGTTTCAAACAAATATTATGAAAGACAATATTTTTGCAAAATACTATGGGAGGGGGAAATTTTTCAGTAAGAGGCACCCTAAAGAAACCAAACTTCCAGACTTCCATTAAATGCTTTTCTTGTTGGACATGAGAATTTTAAAGTGACACTGGAGAGTCTTGGGAGTATACTGAGCTATTTTATGTAGTTGTTGTGGTTTCTTTCTTGAATTCTTCTCTCAATTTCTTATTGTACCTGGTACAGGTGTACATAGGTAAGTGAAGCTCTGTGGAAGATGGGACAGAGAACAGGAAGGATGTACAGTAATGACAACAAGCTTTCCATATCAGTCAGCTTGAGTATGTTCTAGCAGTTAGACTCTATCTAGATTTGTTAGGTCCAGAGTTTTGGAGGCTGCCTTTGCCTCTACTGAGTGATATCAAGAAAAAATGGAAATTGGTTGCCCAGGGGAACAGTAATGCTGAGTGTATAGTGGTGACATTAAACCTTTTGGTGTCTTTGATTATTTTCAAGTAGAAGGTGTAATATGTTATTGAGTGTTCTGCTTACTGCTCTTGATTGCAGACATGTTTTTCTTTTCTTTCTTATGCTTGTTTCCTGACCTTTAATATACATACCAAGGGAATTTGCTGGGAAAATGATAAGGCAAGCCTACAGTAGCGACTAATTCACGTTTTCTTTAGTTGTTATTCTTTTTGTTATGTTCAGAGGTTATCAGGGGATTGCAGTTCACAAAGTATTAGGCAACTTCAGTAGTGATGAGTGGTCTACATAGCTAACCACATTTTCATTTTAAATTGTTATTCAGCTTTTGAGAAAGCATAAAAATATTAGAAATAAGAGGATCATTTAGCAGTGACTCATAAAATTAGCATGAAGAATAATTGTAAAGTAACTTGGAGAGAAACTCATCCAGAAGCTTTTGTTGACCTCTGAAAAAGTATTTATGACATTGTATTAAATATGTGTGGCAATATTTGTTTTATCTAATGGGTGAAAGGAACATATCCACCTTAAACCCATTGATGATGTCAGGTGTTCATTATTTAAATGTATGTCCATAGATTTTTTTATTTTAGTTTTAACGTGTCCCTTCGCTTTCTACCAACCTCCTTAGCCATTTCTCCTCTTTGCCATCTTCTCCGTACATAGAGCATGAATATATTCTGTATAGATTTAATATATGTGGACATTTTGTCTCTCCTAATTTGAATGTAAGCCTTTGAAAACAGAACTTTTTGTCTTTGTATTGCACATAGTGTATTTGCACTTGGTGTAGTATGTAGCACAAAGTGATGCTTAGTAAATGTTTATTGATTGAAGTAACATATCAGAATTAGCATAAGTCTTGTCTGTACGTAGTTCCTTGCAAGTCAGCTTACAAAATTGACTAATTTTGGTTAGGCCTGAAGGTACATTAAAATCTTATCCATATTGGATATAAAACAGGAAAATTTCATAGATTCTTGTGATCTCTTTCTTGGTTTTTTTTGCCATGAAATGTTGGTAGTTTTGAAAGAGATCCATTTGTTTGAGAATAAACGCTGAGAAAATGTTTACAACTAGTTCGATTTTATATTATTTCCAATAATAATTTAATAGTTCACTTTTATCATGCTTTAAGGTTTATAAAACACTATTGGGTTTAAAAATGGTTTTCCTAATGATTGCATATGGGATAGGGAGTGTATAAGTTTTATTGTCCATATTTTTCAGATTAGGAAACAAAAGTATATTGAACAGGATTACTAAAATCAGCCTCTATCTTATCTCTTTCCTGAGGCTATTATTATTATTATTATTTTGCTTTTTTCTTTATACCACAGTTGGTTTACTCACAAAGAGCTTCTCTAGTCACTATGAGCCAGCGCGAACCCTTTAACTTCTATATAGTTCTATTCCAAACACTCACATAGCTGAAATTTATTTTAACTTTTAAGTCTTGGTGGCATGAGTTAGGGATTTACTTTCTAAATCACATTGGGTTTCATTTTTTAAATGATATGTTTCAGTATTGTTGGTAATAGCTGCCAGCTTTGAAGGTGACCTAGATATTTCCCAGAAAAATATGAGGCCCATGATTTGAAATCACAAGTGGAGGCTTGATGAACTTTTGGACTCAGTGGCTATAAATGAAGTGCAGATGGGAAAGAGAAAAGATTTTCTACCAGATAGTTTCTTCAACCCTATTTTCGCCTCCCAGGCTCAAGATGAAGAGGAGGAAGCCTTTCTGGATTGGAGTGATGACAATAGTGAATTTGATCCAAGTACACTTCCAGATCCTGATAAGCACAGAAGCCATGAAGAAACATCTGATGATGATGATGATGATATGGAAGATGAAGAGAGGTATGTTTTGTTTGGTTTTGATGACTGGTAGCAGTGATCTGTTTTGTTTTGTTTTGTCTCCTCTGAAAACTGGAATGCTTTATTAAAAATATTACTGTGAAAATTATTCTCTGCCTTCCCACCTCCAGCTTTACTCTCATAGAAATACTGCTATAATGCTGCTGTCTTTTTATTTTATTTTTTTCCATTTGGCCTCTGGATTATTCTCTAAATGTAACTCAAATCATTTGGATTTCTTTTTAGAGACTGCTTTATTTATGCTGTAAGATTCTTAAAGCAACACATTTAAGAAGTTGTGTTTTTGGTTGACTTTATTTCAACTCTTCTCTTTTCTCTTTCTTCTTCATCTCCCTCTTTATATTCCTTAACCTCAAGATTCTGAGTGTAAATTAGCTACTTCCTACCCAGCAAAGTCCTTTTTCCTTTATATATGCATATTAGAAATAGCATTTTTACCTTATATCAAAGGGATTTTTCTGAGAGCATTTTTTAAATGGCAGATTTTCTGCAGAAAATGAAAGAGAAATAAGATAACTATACTTGTACATTATAGGATTTGTAGGAAAGAAAATAAAAAATAATACATAATGACACAGAGTATTCAGATATGTTTAGAGTAGTGGACAAATTCCCTAAGTGTGAAACATGTGTGTCTTTGTGTGTTCTGCATGTATGTTTGATAAAGAATATGAATGTACCCAAAATGGATGAAATATAAGGAACTGAAGTGTTTGGTATCAGTCAATGTTTATTGAACAACTGTTATGTTCTGTATACTATATGGGGCATTGTGAAGAAATTCTAGGGAAATGAACACATTGTTTATAGGGGATAGACAGCTTTAGTAGAGGTAACAGTGACTAATGAACAGTGAAGTTGATATAATCAAAAGAAAAGAAAATATTTTTATTAGTATGAGAGTAGTGTCAAAAAGAAATTTGAAAACAGTTATCTTATTAGAATTCTCTAGAGTGGTGAGATAAGGAGATTAATTAAATGAAGTGTACTACAATTCTTCAGTTACCAGGAAAATTCATCCATCCAGAATACCTCTTTTCCAAGTGACACAGGATAAATTAGACAGTAATTACCATGTTACTTTACACACTGTATAATAAACTCGTAGGTCTTTGTTAGCCCATAAGATAATAGAATAAAAATATAAATATATATTTTATAAGGGTTAGATAAATTCATGGAATATCAAAATTGGAAGAGACTGTAGAGGTCATCTAATTCATATACCTGTAAAGGAATCCCTTCTACAATATCTCCAACAAAAGGAAATCTTGACTTTGCTTGAAGACCTCTATTGAGGAGAAACTCACTATCAAATGATGCAATGGTAAATCCATAAAAAGATTAAGGAAGTTTTAAAAAAATTACTTATTTGTTGGTCCTTATCTTTTGAGATTGACACCTTCAAAGGCAGCCATACTGCCTGATGAGAGGCAGCTATACTCTCCTTCCAAATATTTCAAGGTGCCAATGCTGAAGAGAGAATGCTGATTTACTCAAACCATTGGGTCCTACCCAGCAGAGCTGTTATGCATATATTCTTATATAAATACACTTTTTTCACACAGTCCACATGATCTCAATTTTGGTAACTAGGACTTCACTAAAACATTTATTTATTTTTAACTTGAACATTGTGTCCTATTCTTAGGTTTACTATTCTAAGGAAGGAATAGTTGGATCTTATAGCTATTGCTATAAATCTTTATGACCATATTGACATGGGAATATTGATCTTTTTAAAATCAGTGAAATGATATCATCAAAATCTTCTGCCTATAATTTAAAGGGACCATTTCCTATACTTGGTGTAGTAATTTCCATACACATCTGTGTAGTCCTTCTTTTCTTCCTGTGGCTCTCACTCTCTCAGTGCCATTTCAAATGTAAAAAATATCAGCTGTAAAATTTCTGCTTGAAAAAGGTGGACCAGTCATGTAATTGGTAACAGAATAATAACCTGAGTATTGCATTTTTACCTATGAAATGCTAAAAAGTCCCAAAAGCAGGATTCCTGTACATTTGGTAGATCCTCTATGGTGCATGTATGGGAAGACATGGACCAAAATTATATGGAATAAGAAAGCATTAATTAATTAGATGTAATCTGATCCATTCAAGAAATATCATGGTTCCATTGACTTATTGATATACACTATAGTATTCACTGTCCTGTTTGTTATCACTACATGCATAGCCTCCACATTTTTTGACAATATGAATGTCCTAAATGTTGTTTTATTTCACACTTCTTATATTCACAGTCACAACTGTTAATATACTGCTGCCTTCTTAAAAACTACTTTGTATTTTTACATTACCCTTTGGTTTACCTGCTATTTAGAATCTTCTGGGATTTTGGTATCGCATTATTCACAGTCTTATAGCATCTCCTCATAGTCAGTGGTGGACCAAGTTGTGCCTATGCAGGATAGTATTCAATAAGGATGCCCCTCATGTTGCTTGATGTAATCTGAGCATTAAATGTTAGTTGTCGGTTTTCCTCCCTGAATTGCTTGCTAGGCTGAGAAGGTACTAAAGAATTTTAAAAAAATATGTATTATACAGTTCCTATCCAATGTTTATTGAATTAAAAAACAAGGAACTATAAAACAAGATATAAATTGTGTGGTAAGGCAATGATTGCAGTAGAAAACATATGATGAAACTATGTTTCTTCAGAAGTCTTTTCAAATTGCTTTAAAATGTGTAAAACGAGTCACTGCTTTTAGAAACAATTTATGGAGGATTGGTAGTAGTTTCAAAGGCAGACAATTTTTTAATGTATTTCATCCTGTTTAGTCTTTGCTAAAAGATATTCTTGAGCAAACTTAGCATTTTATGCAAATATATTTAAATAAGTAATATCCATCCTGCAGATCCAGTGTAACGAGAGAAAGGAGGGTATTATTTCACCAGTCTACTCAGGGAGAATTTTTGTGTCACTTGAGAGGCAATAAATGGGGACTTTTATGTTGCTAATGCTACTACACTTTGGCCACTTAGGAGACAGGGTGCAGAAAATATTTGGAAACATAAACACTCTCTTCTTGAACTCAAATTGCAAGTTTGCTTTAAGTTTATAACCCTGATGTATTTTAACTGCTACTATCTAAATCTTTGTTTTTCTTTGCAAAGACTTGACAATTTTATGTATTTGTGTGAAGAGGGGAACAAAAGAGTAACTCTACCTCCTCTGAGGGTACAAATTGCAATCCATTCACATCTTCTTATCCTGTAGAGGTCTTGTCCATTTTCTCCTGGAGATCCTACTCAGGAGTGCATGCCAAAATCCTGCCATGTAACATTAGAAAATAGTTTAGGGTCATTTAAAGCACTTGTCCCAAAGGCAATCCAGTCTTTTTTCCTCCTCCTAAACCTCTAGGCCTAGTTAATTGTCCTTTTTCAATATCTATCCAACTTAGATGTAGTAATGGGACCAGCTCCGTCAGCCATCCATCCAAATGTAATTGTAGTTTGGACAATAAGCACTGTCCAACTATTTGGTTTTGGAGTGTTTTTCCCCTTATATGACAATTACAGTAAACTCTATTGAGTGATCATGGATAGACCTCATTTAAGAGGCTTTGCAGTATTGTGGGACTTGATGCAATAAGTATAATGCCATGAGCGTGAGCCTTCCGAAAGACCTCCCCTTTCATAGAGACTTCTATCCCATTTGGACTCCATATTGGCCAGTAACAAACACTTTCCAGTGAGCAAATCTCCTTGTGTTAAGCATCACTTCATGTTTCTAATTGGCATATCCTTCAACAAAGGTATCTCTTTTGTTACTTTTTTTTCTCCTTTATTTTTAAATGAAGTTGAATGTTTAACAAAGAGCAGCATTATGCTTTTATACATATAGCCAAGGGCATAGATTCCCAAGCCCCTATACAGTTGGCTTGATGGAAGGATTAGTGAGGCATTATCCATATGAATTATGCCTCAGCTCAGTCTCTGATCAGTTTGAGTTCTGTGGATTAAAAACACAGACTTATTCTTCAGACAATCACAACAACTTTAACCTCAGCTTTTAAAGGCCTCACCAGGGCTGCCATTCCAAGTTAGGGATATAGCTCATGCCATCAACTGGAGAAGCCTGGTTATAGTAACTAGTTGATGAGGACATAAAAAGACTTATGTGGAGCAAGTCCAATAGCACCCTTCCCTTAATTTTGAGAAGGTCATGCCTAGGGACTATGAGGTCACTGAAAAAGAACATTGTATCCAATAGTACCACCCCTTGTCACAACTTCTTAACAATGTTGAGCATATAATATTATGCAGAGGAGTGGAAATAACTGTATGCTTGGAGTTTGAAAACACTATTCCAGGTAATCTAAAGGCTAGAGAAAGAAATGAAAGATCATTTTGGGGAATTCTAGTAGTATAAAACAAGATAAGTAGGCTTTTTTTGTGGCTTTAATAGCTAGAAACTGCCACAGCTACATAAAGCCACCCATTGTAGATCTTTTGACATCTTACTGGTCTGAGTGATGCAGAGTGGAGTTATGGAAAGAGGGCTAGAATTGGAATCAGTAGCCATGGGTTTGCAACTGACTGTAACATTTCCTTTTTGTGTGACCTTAAGTGTCTTAAATAATCACTTAACATCCACTGAATTCTTATTCATAAAATGGAAATAATTAGACCTTTACTGCCTACCCCAGATATTTACTTTTTTGTTTCAAGTAGAATATAAGCCCCTTGGTGACAGTCTGGGTTTGTTCGGTTTTGTTTTGTTTTTAAATACTGTACATTCTCTAGTGCCTATCACATCAGACATTTAGGAAATGATAGTTAAATGAGTGAAGAAAGTAATCAAGCCTTTATTAAGTGCCTACTATGTGCCAGGCACCATGCTAAGTGCTGCAGCTATAAATATGAGCAAAAAGAGACAATTTTTATCCTCAAAGAACTTAGATTCTAATGGAGAAATATAGTACACAGAAGGGAGATAAAAAGCAGAGGGGAAGGAC